CATGCCATCGTTTCAGCACATCCAGTTTCAGCTCTCTTAGTCTGGCTCTACCCCTTTTTTCCACTGATCTTTTCAGTTGTCTCGATGTTCTCCAATGTCTCTTTTGTCATTATATTTCCAAAGAACAGTGTTTGTCTCTTTCTTATTGTTGTATGTAGAGATCTACTTTCATTAGCTTCCTTTCATTAGCAATTGTTGTTAGTTACTCTGGCCGTCCAAGAGATTTGTAACATTCGTCTCAGAAACCACATCTCTGTTGCTTCCAAATTCTTCCTAATTTGTTCACTGACATTCCAAGATTCGCTGCCATACAACAGAACAGGTTCTATATAACATTTTAGCACCCTCTTTCTGACATTAAATGAGAGCGATTTATTGCATAAGATATTTTTCGCCACGAAGATGGGCACAGGATATAAGGGACTCCTTGAGTGTGAAAGTGCATGAGGCGGAAGAACTGGCGAGAGACCGAGTTTCTTTCAGGCAGACTGTAATGAGAGCGACGTTCTGCAAAGGACCTGCTACATGATGATGATTTTTCATTTTCTGAAATGCAGCATTCGCTTGACCTATTCTGCTTTTAATTTCTGTCACACATTTTTCATCTGATGAAATGATTGTTCCCAGATATTTGAATTTATTGACTTGGTTAAGTCTTTTTTCCTTCAGTGAGATATTATTGTTGCTACCAATGGGAAAAAAAACCCTTCACCTTGTACAGAATCCGAACCTGCATCTCCCGAATAAGAGACGTACCTTCTAACCCTTCCGACAGCAGCACACAGGGCCATATTTAGGATCCGTGATGCCCATGGGCAATCATTTATCTTACGCCTAACTTTCCTCGGCTAAACTTCTGTATCTCTTTTATTATCATACTAATTTAACAACAGAAAGCTGATCTAATGCGGGTTTCATGAAGATAAAGGCAAAAAAAAAAAAAAAATAATAACATGTTATTTCTACTAGTTACAGTACCAGTTGTTAATGATATACCTGCAGTCTATAATGATGGTGGAGAGCTGGAGACAGTTGGTCATTTGACATATCTGGGTTCCACAATGAATAACAAACCATCGCTTGACCAAGAAAGCAACATCTTGATAGGTAAGGCAGCAACAACAATGAGCAGATTAATAAAAGTTTTGGGAGAACAGAAAGCTCACAATTAAAACAAAAATTCTTGTATATCAGACTTGTTTTTTCAGCACACTTCTTTATGACAGTGTGACTTGGTCAGCTTTTTCGCTTCAGGGTAACGGCTAAACAGCTGTCACATGCGATGCTCGAGAAGAATACTTGGCATTAAATGACAAGATCATAAACACTGAGATATTGGAAAGGGCAGGTTTTACAACAGTTTTCTCAATACTTACCAAAGGCTCAGGTAGCTGGGTCACAGAGAATGGAGGATGGTAAAGTCCCTAAGAACATTCTCTGTGGTGAATTACAGATGCGTAGAAGATGTCAAGGTCGGCCTCTACTACGACATAAAGATGTGCGAAAGCGGGGCATGCATGATACAGGTATTGAGACAGATTCGTAGGAATAAAGTGGCAAGAATCGTGTTGCGTGGAAAGGGTGGTGGTGGGGGGGGGGGGGGGTTTAGGAAGAAGATTGAAATAAAGGAAGAAAACGATATAACTGGAGACAGGTTTAGAGCTCACTGTTTGAAAAGAAATATAATAAATACCCGCAGGGTCCTGAAATCCCATGCTCAAATTGTCGTAGACCTTTCTACCACGGGCGGGTCTTGCTAGTTGTCATCGCCATGGGTTGTTGTTCCTAAGCTTTCCCAAAGCAAAACACAACATTATCACCTGGAAAGACGGAAAGATGCAACAACAGCAACAACACTTGCCGCCTAGAAAAACTGTGCTGTCCCCACACATTTGCCGCCTTGTGCAGCTGCACACTTTGCCCAAAGCCTAAATACCGTCATGGCCGCATAAACATACCCTCTAGTTCGTAGTCGGCTCTAAATAAATATCAGACGACACTTAGAAAAAAATAATAATAATATCTTATGCGAGTGCTTTTAGAAACACTGTAAAGAGTAGACATTGAGCGTAAGCTTCAATGCACAGGATATAAATCGGGTGGGAATTAGACAGAAATGCCGTGTCACGTGATAGTTACTAGTTGGCTGTCGTGTGGCAAGGATGCTGTATAACTGGCATTTACTTTGTTTCTAGGAGCACAGAGCGAGGGACCGCTTCTGCTGTTTTTTGAGCTTTTTCTAAACCCACCTATTGTTTTGTGCCGTGTGGTGAGTATTAATCTGCGAAGTTATGTAGCTTTTGGCAATAAGTTGCCAGATAGAGTGACTTAGATGTTAGTGAATGTAGTTGACAATTTAACGATCATGACTTGTTAGGGTTCACAATTTCAGCGGCTAACGGTTATTTAAACAAAATATGTTGTCTGTACCACACTTGTCCCTAGTGTTATCTGATCTGCCTGGCCTGGTGGTCTCGTCACGACATATTTTTTTTAAAATTATGTTTTCTTTGATGGCTGTTACGATTTCTTGGCAAGTTTTGCAGAAGGTAGTTTGCCATTTCTTTCTTTTCGGACGGTGACTGTACTAGTCGGTGGCCATAGCAATTGTCTCTATTAATGAAATCATCTGCCGATCGCCACAGAGTGCATGGCCATACCAACAACAGTCTGTCGGCTGCTCTCACACTCCATTCACCACTTGCTTCCATGGCTTCACGTAACCCTAACGACTATCAGTTGCTCTCTAAAGACTAAAAACAACTGTATAAATTATGGAGTGTGACAGACAGAATTACACAAATTTGATTTCTCATCTTTCCCATTGCAACATACACATGTGAGACCTGGACACTTACTAAACAAGCTGAACAGCGCGTAAATGCCTTTTAATAGAAATGTTGTAGACGGGTTCTAAGAATATCATGGGCAAAGAAAAGAAAAAAAATCCATCCATACTTCAAAAACATAATATTGAAGAAGATTTGTTGTTAAAGACGATACAACACACACACATTTTACTATTTTGATCAGTTGAAACGTCACGAACGTTTAGAGAGAACAATAATGGAGGGGTATATGCCTGGGAAGAGAGGGAGAGGAAGGCCAAAGAGAAGATGTGTGCAGGATGTGGCGGATGGTTTCCATATGGGTGTATCGGACGCGGGACATCTTGCTTGTGATCGAGAAGTTTTCCGGAAGGTTGATTTGGGAGCAGGGTTCTGCAAAGGACATGCTATTGACTGACCGACTGATATATGTATTCATAAACAAATTATTAGAAAAGGGAAACGGGGGACGGGAAGGTGGCGACGGCGCCGCCGCCAAAGAGAAACGTTGTTTTGAATCATGATTTTCCCTGTTTGGGATAGTGGCTTCATTCTGAGGACAACAGAACAGACCCATTCTATCAAGCATATTTAAAACGACTTATCAGAAAGGTTTCCTTCGAAGCGGGTATGCATCTGCATTAGAGGGAAGGAACCAGCAGTCTGCATAAAAAATAAGTCAGATTTGTAAAACGAATATGCACGCAACAATCAGGTTCCAGAACAGGACTAAAGCTTGATGTAAGCATACTACCGTACTCCTAACTAACCAACAAAGTCGCCAAAGAGAAAAGCTGAGATACTGTCCAGGTACAGAATAGGCCACGGACTGTTCAGGTTAGGATGTTTAATTTTGCCCCACGAAAGAAAAACTCCATTAACTTACCGGGGGTCGAACCCGGGTTTCCTGCATGACAGCCCAACATTGTAACCACTCGGTCAACCACGAAAACTACTACTATTCTGCTACTACTGCCACTGCTGCAACAATGAGCAGATTATTATTGCGGGCAAGGCTGTTACAGTGAGGTTCCCGACATCGGCCCATAACGACAGCTTCATGCAGATTTATGAGGTCAACAGTCAAAGTTCGTCCACAGTCCACGCCGGGAAAGCAGAAACGCAGAAAAAAGGCTTGTCAGAAAACAAAACTAAGATGCTTATGTGATCATCGATGGAGCTATGTGGTTCGTGCTTTGTGCAACACTCTTATATAAAAACACGCGCGTATTCGAATGCAAGGTTGTGTCAAAAATTGAAAGCAGTCGGTAAAGAACATTTAGAGATTAGCTACCACAAACAGAGGAACATCTACAGTTTTATTTATATAGATGAGTACTCGGTGTGTGATGTGGTAAACATCACACAGACATCTTTTCTCTCCAGGATTTTATTTTCTTCTTCTTCTGCCTTTCTATCCCCCAATGGAGCATAGGCCCTCAACCAACTCAAGCCAAGTCGTTCTATCCTTCGCCATTGCATGAAGCTTTTCCCATGTCCTCCCCATCTTTCTATAGGTACTTTATCTGGTACCAATTTAAGGCTGGGTCGACCTGTGAGCCAAGGTTTTTTGTTTTTTTGGGGGGGGGGGGGGGGGGTCCGACTTCTTTTGGATTTGAGCCCACGACCTTCGGATCCGCAGACGAGCGTCTAGTCGTTAGTAAATTATGTAGGTATGCCTGAAACAATATTGGAAAAAGGGTGGTGGGGGAGGCGGGGAGGGGGGGGGGGCTCTAGCGCGACTGTAACATTTAAACATTGTTTTGAATAATAATTCTCTCCATTTGAGTTCCGGGGTCCCATAGTTGGTAAAACAACAATCGACCCACTGCCTGTCAAACAAGCAATTTTGTAGGAGTCGAATAACTGGGGCCATCTTTCGAAGTCAGAGCACACTTGCCTAACAGGCAAGAAACAAAGAGTCTGTTACAAATATGCCAGACGTGTGAAACGGATGCACACGCAACATTCAGCTTCTGGAACTAAAGTCTGGAGGTTAACGAATACCCGGAACTTTCCGCTGGAGTTTACAGCAGGTGAACGCAAAGAAGAAGAAATATTGATTTGTACCATCGCTAATGGATTCGCATTTCACATTGTTTGTTTACTGAATGTTAACCGTATTTATGTCCTGGTGTATTTCCCTCTTCCATTAAAGTACTGCTTGGCCCCATGGCAGCCGAAAAGAACTACAAGTGTTCCCTTGGCGAAGCGGCCTTGCAGACAGCTATAGCAGAACTGAACGAGGACCCCAAGACCAGACACATTGAGATAAAAACCCTCAGAGAGCGGCTTGAAAAGTATCCAGGTATGACTGGTACTGGTGTTGCTAAAAAAAACGAAAAACTTCTTGCCTCTTTCAACCGGCTCCTAGATTGAGCTTTGGTTATATCGAAGCGGTGTTTTGTTGTCTGGAGTTTTGTTATCCAGTTATAGTCGTTTCTGTTGTGGCGATTTACATTTCTGCCTGAGGTTAGTTGCTTCTGTCAGAGTGAGGTAGGTGGGCGTGGCTGGGCGGCGGACATATGTCATCTGGTTGTGGGCTGTGAGGTTTCTCAGGGCTGGTGGGCGTGGTTGTTCAGCTGTCATGGCGGCTTGTGAGGTTTTCATTGGTTGCTGCATGTTGGCTTTCAACTTGTTACTTCACGTGGGCGTCGTTTCCGTTTGAGTGGGCTGCTATCTTCGTTTTGTTGTTTCTTATGCTTTCGAGTTGAAGATGCCGGGTGGCTTCTTTGAGTTGCTTCACCTCCTTGTTGATTGCTGCGAAGTCGCCTTTCAGGCATTCCTTGAGGATGTATAGGTCTTGTGTGCACTTCTTCTCTAGATCTCCGGGTTTCACGTGTGCGTCGTGGATCTGCCTTTTTCTGTCTTTTTCTTTCTTCGCGTTTTCTCTGGCTTCTATCACTCTGTGCGTGGCTTCGATTACACAGCTGAGTTTGTCGCATTCATTGTTTGTCTCGGCTACCTCTGCTTTTGTTTTTGTCAGGTCTTTCTTGATGGTGGCTATCTCGGAAAGTATACTTTTCTGGTTGTCTTTCAGTTCTTTGGCGGCTACTGCGTCTGTTTCCTTTAACTTCTTGAGGTCGGTTAGATTTGCCATCAATTCTGTTTTGAACTTCGCCATTTCTGTATTTCCTCCTCCTCGAGTCTCCTTTGGGTCTCGAGAGATGCCTGCAGGATGCTTCGCAGGTCTATCATCTCGTCCCTGTCCTGAGTCCTGAGTGCCACGATTCGTGCGTTCTCTTCTCGCAGGGATTTGATTTCGTCTCTCAGCTGCGTAATGACGTTGTTGTTCGCAGCTGTCGGACTGGGCGCCTGATATCTTTGCTTCGGCTCTGGATTGTGTGTGGTCCTGGTGGTGGAATTCGCCATCGCTCTCTTGACTTCTTTCAGGTACGGGCAACCCATGTACCTGGCGCTGTGTGCACCGGAGCAGTTGGAACATCTTCTGCTTGCGTTCGGCTTTTTAAAGTCAGGGTCCACTTTTGCCAGAGGGCATTCCCTGAATAGGTGAGGGCCGGAGCAGTACCGGCACGATGGGCTGCTGCGGCATGACGAGGCAGAGTGCCACGCCTTGTTGCAGCGAGAGCACTGCAAAACTTCTGTGGTGTAGGCTCCCGGTCGTTGCTGCTGCTGCCTGAGTGGGCGGGTGTTGCTCGGTTCCTGCGCCACGACTGGGGCGGCTTCTGGGAAGACGGGTGCCTCGATAGGGCCCACATCCAGGGCTGGCGGCGTCTGGGTGTGTGAGGCTGGTGTCTCCTCCGGGTCGTCGACCGGTTCTGGCATCGTCAGTTCTGGTGCGGCGACAGGTGCTTCCTCCTTTTTGGCTGAGGATGCTCTGGTGTCCCGGCGCTGGACCGGATTCTTCTTACCACGGGCCATGGTTTCGTGTGGCTGAGGCTGGTAAGTCGGGCGGCAATTGATTGCTCGGTCCCTGCAGAGTCTGGCAAGGCTTGTTAGAGTATCCTAAAAAGGACACCCAAGCGTGCTTTTCTCCGCAGTTCTCGAGACAATCGTTAAAAAAAAACTGGCTGGTATGGCAGGCTCCTCAACAATGCTGTGTTCCCGGGCCGCTAATAACCCACCCGCAGACGAATAACAATAGTCTAGTCGAGCCAAAACTCAGCCGAATGTCAAGCGAGTTCTGACCAGTATCTAGCTATTGATAATCTGGCTGCGAATGGATAGTTACCGGCTGACGAGAGACACGTGGCTGAATCGGGCGGTAAAGCGAGCGAGCGAGAGAGAGCTGTGTCCGACTGGGCTGTCTGCGCTGACTGTCTCACCTCCAGGTATGACTGGGAAAGCTGCACTCTTATCTCCTTTCTTCGCAGTACGACGGGTTTAAGTCAGCTCTAGAAGTCCTGCCCAACTTTTAAAATGTGTAACTCGCTAACCGACTGATTGTCTTTCTACTCCACCAGCACATCACACTGAGCGACAAACATCCGGTGACACAATGTATCACCTTTTGGATGAGGATCACCTGTGGAGAAGTCACAGAAGCCCCGTTCAATCGTTAAGTTATATTAGGGCCCCCGGCCACAACCAGGGTGGGGCATAAATAAAAACACTAAAGATTCTTCCCACAGAGAGACGGAGAGTAGTAGCTCGGTAATTGTTTGGTTTGAGTGGTTGAAGTTTAACATTTAGATTGTTGTTAACAGTATCCTTTAGTTTATATTGGTCTTGTTTGCGGTATATATATATATAAATATATATAAAATAGAACACAGATTCAAAGCAAACAGGCAGCACGTTTACAGTAACTTGAGTAAACTAAGTAAATAGAACCGCTGCGCACGTGAAAGACATTCCAGATGAACAAGTATGGCTCACAGGGCTGCACCAAGCACTAAACTCGGTAGCTTAGGCAGCGAAACCGTTACTAGAGGATACGCCGTTTAGGGGGGGGGGGGCATAGTCATACACAGTGTATTAACTCTAATCAGCTGCTCGCTATTTGACACTGCAGGAATTATAGGACTTTCTAGTTTAAATACTATTCTATGTTGAAATAAACTTTAAAAAAAAAAGTCATTGGGAAAATCTCCTAGTCTGGGTTCCGTGTCCCCATTGTGAGAAAAACAAGAATAGACCCACTGCCTACACGAAAAAATCATGCCGTAAAAATCGACTAAGTGGGAGCTTCCTTCGAAGTCGGAGTGCATCTGCATGAGCGGCAATAAACAACCAACGGCACACAAATAAGCCATTCAACGGATGCACCTGCAAAACCCGGCCCTGACAGCTTGTTAAGTCCCAGTGGACTGATAACCAAGACTTTCCGCCTTAAATGTAATCCCGGGGTGCCGGGTTCGATCCCAGCTGGGGACGGTTTGTTTTGCGTTGGTTTCGACAGTGGTACCGGACCTGACCTTTCAGAAGCAATGGCAAACGACTGAACGTAAAATTTGCCTTTAAAAAAAAAACCACAACAGCTAAAATATGCTGGGGTTGGTTCTGCAAAGTCAGGTAAAGGATTAGCAACTAGTTTTTCTGCCAGAGCTCACAGCCGGTGAACAAATAAGAAAAAGAATTTTAAAAATCTTTTAAAAAAAAAAAAAAAAAAAAAAAAAAAAAAACAGCAATAACAACAACACAATCAACAGATCCATAGGAAGGCTTTTTTTCTTTCTTCGAAATCCTGGCTCCAGAATATGGTTGACCTTTATCAAGAGTTAGAACATATTGAGGATAAACCATTAGCCCATGCTGTTATATTTAAGTATTGAATTCTAATAAGGTAAAATACACAAATCCACAGGTCTGCATGCTCGTACTGATCCTGAATTCCTGATACGATTTCTGAGGGCTCGTAAATTCGATCAAGAACGCAGTTTTAAACTGGCCATCAATTACTACATGGCAAGATATGAGGACAATGAAGTTTTCAGAGGTTAGACTTTCATAAATCTTATCTCTCTGATTGGTTTTATCACTTTCGTTTATTCTTCTGCCTTTTACCCCCCAACTTAACCCCCCCCCCCCCCCCCCCCCCCCCCCCCCCCCTTTCCCAGTGAAGCATACGCCGTCAACTAACTCACGCCAAATCGTTCTAGCCTTCGCTATCGTATGCAGCTCTCTCCATGTCCCCCACGCCTTTTTACCAACACTCTCTAGCCCCCTTCTCCATGTGTTTGTATTACTTTAAAGGGTAGCTTTACTTGTGTTAAAGTTTGAGGAGGAAAAGAAAAAGGAGGTGGAGGAAGGGGAGGAAGAGCAGCAGGGTTTTTCTTTTCTACACAAAAAAGATGCCGAACAGATGGTCCTGATGACAGACCAACAGAACCAGAAGGCTTGACATCGTGACACTAAAGAATCTTAGTGCTGATGGCAAACCAGCAGAACCAGAAGGTTTGACACGTTGACACTAAAGAATCTTAGTGCTGATGGCAGACCAACAGAACCGGAAGGTTTGACACCGTGACACTAAAGAATCTTACCGCTAATGACAAACCAGCAGAACCAGAAGGTTTGACAAAGTGACACTAAAGAATCTTACCGCTAATGACAAACCAGCAGAACCAGAAGGTTTGACACCGTGACACTAAAGAATCTAACTGCTTGTGGCAAACCAACAGAACAAGAAGTTTTGAATCCGTGACACTAAAGAATCTTACTGCTGGTGGCAAACCAACAGAATAAGAAGGTTTAACACCGTGACACTAAATAATCTTAGTGCTGATGGCAAACCAGCAGAACCAGAAGGTTTAACACATTGACACTAAAGAATCTTAGTGCTGATGGCAAACCAGCAGAACTAGAAGGTTTGACACCGTGACACTAAATAATCTTAGTGCTGATGGCAAACCAACAGAACCAGAAAATTTGACACCGTGACACTAAAAATTCTTATTGCCGATGGCAAACCAACAGAACCGGAAGGTTTGCCACCGTGACACTAAATAATATTACTGCTGGTGGCAAACCAACAGAACCAGAAGGTTTGACACCGTGACACTAAAGAATTTTACTGCGGATGACAAACCAGTAGAACCAGAAGGTTTGACACCGTGACACTAAATAATCTTATTGCCGATGGCAAACCAACAGAACCAGAAGGTTTGACACCCTGATACTAAAGAATGTCAGTGCTGATGGCTGACCACAATAGCAAGCCCAGGTACCCTGTTAAACTTTTATGGAAATTATAATTAGGGGCATCCGTGACGGCCACACCAGAACGGTATAACCTACAGTCCTGTACAGCTAATGACAATTCAGAAACTAAAAATGTAGTCAGCTAAGATTCCAAGTTACCTGTAGGTGAGACAAGAAAATGCTTCACACCAGTTTACATACAAGTTTACATATCATGTATCGTTACCTTATTTCCACAGTAAGGAAACGTATTAAGCACACATTCGTAATTCAAGTTCAGGGTTCGATTACAGTTGCGGGCTAATAGACAACAGACCGTCTTGCATTGGTTTCGATAGTGGTATCGAGAGCCGAACATGCATTGAGCAAACTATTGAACGTAAAATTGAATAGTGAAATCACAGACCGTAAAAATAATAATAATTCGGTGTTGATTCTGCAACGTCATGTAAAACTGAAAGATTCGCAACTAATTTTTGTTGTTGGTGTTTGTATTAGCGACCTCAGTTTAACAACCATGTTTGTAAATTTGTTGCAGGCCTGAAGCCGTTTTGTGTCAAACACGTGTTCGACAGCGGTTACACTACTCCTCTGGGAATTCGGGATAAACAAGGAGGAGCTGTCCTAGTGGACAAACCAGGTCAGTATCTTTTATTATATATCTTACATTTTTCAGGGTGGCTTGTGGGGGGGGGGGGGGGGGGCATTTTGGGGGAAAATAAAGGCGACAAGTTTAATTCCCAGCACGATAACTACAGCTTTAAATTTTTTTGTCTAGTGTGTCCGTCTATCTTTCTGCTTCTTTCTATGAGTGTCAATCAATACAGCGTATGTTTTGTTTAATATATATATATATATTATATATATATATATATATATATATATATATATATATATATATATATATATAATGTATAATTTTAAGACGCAGCACGCCAAAAGCCTTTATAAATTCGGATTGATTATGATGCAAATGAACAAACAAATCTGGCAGCCCAGGGAGTAACGGTGTCTAAAACAAGACCGAGGCACCCCGGGTGGAAAAATATCTGTTTGGCGCTCAGAGTGTTCTCGACTCGTACCATCGGTCGCTCTATCGTTGTGTAACCGCACTTTGCCCGCAGCGCAGGTGTGACTGACGGAGTTGAGAGAGAGATGGGACTGTCTGACTGATTACGGCAGTGGTATGGTTTCAAAGTTAAATCTGAATTTGTCTCTAGTAGTCAACTGTACAGAGCTATTTATCAGTATGTATCATCGTTCGGAGGTATTTGATTTTATGTCTACAGAAGAAAATAGTATTTTGTGGTAGCTTAGTGCGTGGCCTGTATGAACATGACTTTGCTTGTTAATGTAATGTTATTTGTGAAGCGTTGTTAATTTTGTGCTCAGTAAATTGAACAGATGTTGAATTTGATAATTATATTTCCAACTGTTTTGATTTTGAATAGGACTTGTGGTTAGTTGCCTAGTTTTACTGTTTATTACTGATCAG